TCCCTCCACGCACTCTCCTGCCTCTCCCCTCTCATCTCACTCTACTTCCCTCCACGCACTCTCCTGCCTCTCCCCTCTCATCTCACTTTACTTCCCTCCACGCACTCTCCTACCTCTCTCCTCTCTCATCTCACTCCCCTCCACGCACTCTCCTGCCTCTCCCCTCTCATCTCACTCTACTCCCCTCCACGCACTCTCCTGCCTCTCTCCTCTCATCTCACTCTACTCCCCTCCACGCACTCTCCTACCTCCCCCCTCAACTCCGCGCGATCCACCAACCAACCCTTCCCCGCTCCCCCTAGGTCGACTCAGCCTGAAGTGAGTACTGTGCCTGTGGCGGTGCAAAAAGCATCAGCACTTCATAGACGTATCCGCGCCCACCTTAATAGGCCCCGCTTGCGAACATCACACTCGCCCCAGCAGGCTGCCGAGTCTATACGGGGATCTTTGTCCTTGTGATTTTTTTTTCTGAGCAGCAAGACACCTGGGGGAGGTTTCGCGTGGGGGGGGGGGGGGAGACGTGGGTCACGTGACGCATGTTTTATGCAAATTAAACCCCGGGGGAGGGGTTGATGGGGGGCGAGGGTAGGGGGAGGGAAGGGATGGCGGGGAGACGTGGAGGGGGTGATGGGGGGTGAGGGTGGGAGGAGGGAGGGGTTGGTGGGGAGACGTGGAGGGGGTGATGGGAGACGAGGGTGGGAGGAGGGAGGGGTTGGCGGGGAGACGTGGAGGGGGTGATGGGGGGCGAGGGTTGGAGGAGGGAGGGGTTGGTGGGGAGACGTGGAGGGGGTGATGGGGGGCGAGGGTAGGGGGAGGGAGGAGCGGCTTCTCTCGTGAGAGGCCCATTTCACGTCCCATCAGCAGATCTCGCGGGCGAGATGAAGGCATGCCGCGTGCTATGATTGGAGGGTCGGCCACGGGCCGGCTGTGTGTTGGGTAGCAGAGGGCCGTGCAGCAACATCGCATTGCACCCAATTAGCACGGCTGACTACGTACGGTGCAAAACAAGTTAAACTTACTACATACCATTGCTGTCAACCCATAGGGTTTACCCCCTATTCTTGTACAGTTTCTGGTCCATACGGCTTACAGCCGTTCCAATACGGGTAAAAAAGTGTCTATTTGTTTGTGTTTCTCCCTTGTGATAGGACTTTGTAGGATGAACGCTGAGATCTATAAGGGCACGGGGTGACCAATAAGGTCTGAATTGGTCTGTAATGAGGTAGGGCACTGATAATGGGTTGACAGGTATGGTATACATATGTAATGCCAGTAGAGTTCACCCACGGTGAGAATTGACTAGTGGCCACGGGAGGTAATGGCAGGGGAGTCAGCTTGTAGTGTGAATGGACTAGTGGCCACGGGAGATAATGACAGGGGAGTCAGCGTGCAGTGCGAATGGACTAGTGGCCACGGGAATGATCGAGAATAGGGACGTGGCCAGTTGACGTCAGAGGACAGGTGGTCTCGGGCAGCAGGAAGGATCGAGAATAGGGGCGTGGCCACGCACAGTATATAAGGAGAGTAAGCGGAAGGCACGGGGCTGCTGATGTTGGGGTCTCCGCCTGTGCAAGTGAACGTTTCTTTAAAAACACATTTCTGCGGAGGGAGCTGGTAGGAACGTTGGGTTGCTTGGTCAATGGCCAGGGTCAACGGCGGCGTGGTGTATTCCGCAAATATGCCCGACTGTGAGGGCGGGCACAAGCCGGCATGATTAGGTTAAACGTTGAGTTTTATAAGGGCACCACGGGGTGACCAGCCCCTCCCCACCCAGCCCCACTCCTCCCACCCCCCACCCAGCCCACCCTCCCCACCCAGCCCCTCCCTACTCTCCCCACCCAGCCCCTCCCCACCCTCCCCACCCAGCCCCTCCCCACCTTCCCCTCCCCACCCAGCCCCTCTCAACCCTCCCCTCCCCACCCAGCCCCTCCCTCCCCACCCAGCCCCTCCCTGCACGACAGATGGACGGACACAATAATCCCCTGTTGGCTGGTGTAACCAGGAGGTTCCTACCAGTAAAATAAACCATCTCAATAAAGTGTGCCAAGTCATCATTACACATATGTTGTCATGTAAAATGGATCACGATGGTGCGTACTGCTACGTGCTGTAAAACAAGGAATTATGGGTGCCGAGGCAAGCACACCGTGCAGTACCATACAGTGGGTCACTAGGGGCGTGTTACCGGGTGCAAGCAGAGAGAGGCTGATGAGTCCTACCGACAGAGTAGGGAATAGCAGCCACTCCGCCAGTGCAGCGAGTAATTGCCACATACTTGGTCACTGGGGAGCGTGGTGAGGGCTGCTTTGCGGAAGGGGACATATGAGGACGAGTCACCCCGGCATCGGGTGAAGCACGTGATGGGCCTGGGTGATGAATGGGGGGATAAGGTGACCGAGGGGACATGAGAAGTGTAGCCAGGAATCGTCTAGAGAGTTCCCGAAGTTAAGGGTGGAGCCGGGCAGGTCGCTGGTGCAAGGTCGTCTGGAACCTTCGGGAATGTCCAAAGGGGGGCTAGACCGAGGGTGGAGCCAGGCCGCGCCGAGAGGGATTAAAGGGAAGCCCCGATCGAATATGTCTGCAGGTGAAGTGGAACCCGTGCCACGTCTTCGTCTCTGTCTCTGACGTCGTGGGTCAGACAGCACGTTGGCTGTTCTCACCCGGTAATAGTTATCCCGTCTGTGAAAGAGATAGGCGTGTCATAGTCCCGTGTGTAACGAGTATAAGAGTCAGGTGTATTGTCGTCCCATGTGTAACGGTATTATGTAGCGTAGACTAAACGTTGTTACCTCCTGAATAGTGTCTCCGAAGTGACTCACTACACATACGTGGCTGTACTGAGCGGTGTTGCGCTTCTATGCTCCCAAAGGGCGTCATCATTGGTTCTTTCCCCCCTTCTTTGAAAGGGGGGAAATACCCAATGATGACCCCCCCCCCCCCCCGGGTCCGTGAAAAAATTGTCTTCCACGAAACCGGTCCCTGGTGCCAAAACTGTTGGGGACCGCTGCCCTAAGACACGTGACAGGCCCAAAAGATCCTCCCACTTTGACGCCCCTCGAGCGTTCATCCGGTTAGTCTTAGTTCATCCCTGGTTCTGGCTTCGCAGACATCCTGGCGACTGATGTAATAACTCACCCCTGGAATAACTCCCTCCCAGGGATCCGGAGGACATCCCAAGATTTGTGTGAGCACAGACCCACCTAATTGCCCCTCGATGTGGTTTGTGTGTGTGTGTGTCTCTAGCCACGTGTTGATTGTGAAACGACCTTCCTCCCTCTGAGTGTTCGTGTATCGGTTTATCGTTTCTCCTATTGAGCCCGGGTTGGCCAAGTTCGAGTCCCACTCGCAATCAACACAGCGGCGGTTCTCTGAACTGCTCCTGCCCCCCCCCCCCCACTAAGTCGCCAATACCTTAATATGAACACGTTCCTTCGGAGTGGGCAGGTAGGAACTTGGTTGGACGGCGCATTCGTGCGATCCGTGTCACGCGGCGCAAGCTGCGTGGGGCGGCGCGTCACGTGGTGCCGAGCCCGCCCGAAGCGCTCTATGAAATACAATTCGAGGGCGTGGCTATGCACGACAGACAAATAATCCCTGGTGGACAGTGTGCAACTTATTCCTACCTGTAATACCTGGTGCAGCATGTCATATAGCCACTGACAAGACAAATGCGGTCGGGCACGGCTCTAATTATACCCCTTGAATACGTATTATTTTTGGTCGTGGAGGATTGGCATAATTCGTCGTATGTATAGTGTCCTGAATGATCCTTAGGTTCAATACTGCAATACATTTCCATAATTTGTTATCAAGTGTATATGCTTAACCCAGACCTCATGGCACTCATGTATTTATAAGTGAATGTATTGTCATTAACAATATATCTTATCCCCGAAGTTAACGTTTAAAACCATGATGTTTAAGAATATTTGTATGTTGTGATTGTCATTTGAACGCTTCTACTGTAGTAATAGGTTTTTACGCCTTTTGGCGCTTCTACTGTATTTGCCCCCCGGGTAGACAGCGAGTTGTGGTGTTTTGCCACGGGTTCCTCCCTTTCGTCAATTTCTGCTCGGTCCTTTGGAGGTGCTAATGCCACACCCCGTCCGTAAAGTTCTCTTTCAGAAATTTCCCTGGGTCACTCAGGACGCACGGATTCCACATATTTGTCGACATGGAGCTATGACATTAAAATAGACATTATCACACTTAATATTTTTTTGGAAAAAGGAATATATACACCACTGTTCTGGACTTACCACTCCAATCCGTGGAAGACTCGACACGGGGTGATGATGGGTTTAGAATTGGAGGTGGTTATACCACAGTTCTGTGACGTCTGTATATTGCTCGCTAGCGCAAACGAACATCGCTTTTCAGGAGGCTCCTGCACGTTCCCTCTTGTTTCAACACGTGTTTGCCGATCGCCGGACTGATGCAGCCTTGAAACCGGTGATCCGGCAAACGCCGAATTACACAACTCGCTTTTCGCCAGATCGCACTGCATATTTTCTATATTATTAGTTATTGGTCATGAAAAATGTATATACGTGCCGTATTTTCATTCAGTTGTAAGTAGTATATAATTTACTGTATATATATTTGACACTGAAATCAAGAATAGCTAGATTTTTTTTCATGCACATGGTTCCGATCGCCAAACCGGTACAGCCTTTGGAGCAGTTTTCCAGACCGGTCCGGGACTACCGGATGTTGGCAGCCGGATAATCGATGATATCCTGTAAGTTGAAATTTTTTCGCACCGTACGTAGGCAACCGTGCCGAATCGGTTCACCGTGTTCTGCAGCGCAAGGCCGCTAACCACCGCGCCACCACTCCCCGTATAACAAAAACCCTCGAGGCACTCGGCAAAAACACGGCCGTTTGCGTGTGCGTGTTGCTTTACAAGGAAGCATGTAACAAGGCGACGTTTTGGGGCGAATGCCCTTCACAGCACACAGGAGGTGGACGGCACCGGACACGGGAGACGCACAACATCGTCATCGACGGCGTTTGTTTTATTGTTCACAACGGAGATGGCCTTGTCTGGTTTGTCAAGCGGACAAAATACTAAAAAAGAATTTACGTTGAGAACAGCAGCCGAGGGAGTCGGGGTTCTCTGCGCGTGGCTGTATCGTCGCACACGACGGCGGTGGCAAGACGTGGCTCAGGAGCTCGATGTCGAGTTTTGTTGCTGCTGGCCACGATGGGAGGGCTTCAGCAGAGAGGGCGCTCGTGTCGAGTTTTGTTGCTGCTGGCCACGACGGGAGGGCTTCAGCAGAGAGGGCGCTCGTGCCGAGTCGCCGTTCCTCCGTTAAAGGAGTGCAGGCCACCGCGGTGTTACTCTACACGCGTGAGTTGCTTGGCCACGAATCTTACGACTGTGGCTGCCAATTCAATACGTATATTATGTATCTCTATGTGTCTCTACGGGTTTACTGTATGGTCCATGGTTTGGAATGCATGGCCACAACCACACGATTGCGTCAATGAGGTTGTACCGTCGCCATCTCTTCGGCATCAACTCACAGCGTGGTTTGGTACCGGCCCCCTGCACGCTTCATCGTTTCCACTCATCGACAAATCACCGGTTTTGAACGATTCCATTCAGGCACCGTGGCTTACATTCCCCGCCGCATCCAATGCGGATCGGCAAACCCGGGGATTATACAATGTTGGCAGCCGGCACCCTTAGCCATAGTTCCCACCTCCAGGATATCTCCACCCCTCCCTCCCACTCCCTCTCTCTCCAGTGTAGCAGGCAGCGATGAGCATCAATGTTCACCGAGCTGGCCTGGGAGTAATCATTACCAGCGTAAGGCACTACCACGAGAGTGCAAAATGTAACTGAAACACCTTATCCACGTCAATCTTATATTGTCATACCTTATATTACTACGATCTCTACAATGCTGGTTTCTATGAATATAGGCTACAATAGCCTGCTATGGATGGGCATACTTTGTACTCTAGTGGTAGTGCCTTATGCCAACAATTAAAAAGCCAATATCACCATGAACAGGTTGCTGTGAATGTGAGGTAAGAGGACAAAACTAGGAATGCAAAACAACTCCTGGAACGGCATTCCCAAATATTCCAGTCAAATTGGAATCTCTGGGAATGACGATGCCCCAACTGGAGATGTGGGGGGTGGTGTGGGGGTAAGGGGTGGGGGGTGGGGAGGAGGGAGGGGAGGGGCTACCCCCCCTCCCTCCCCCCCTCCTCCTCCTCATCCTCCTCCGTCTACTTCTTCTTGGCCGCGGCAACTTTGCCCTTGGCCTTGACCTTGGGGGGGTCCTGGTGGCCCACAAAGAAGTCGTTGCAGTTGATGGCCAGGCCCGCGATCATGATGACAAACTCCTGGAAGTCCAACTGCTGGTCGCCGTTCGTGTCCAGGTCCTTCATGGTCTTGTCCAGGGAATCGGTCTTCTGGGCTCCCTGAGGGCACTGCACACACCGCGGATTGTGGGGGGGGGGGGGGGGGGGGGAAGAGGGGGGGTGAATGGTGGGTTCGTGCGTGTAGGTGTGCGTGAGTGTGTGCGTGTGCATGAGTGTGCGTGTGTGCATGAGTGTGTGCGTGCGAGTGCGTGTGAGTGCATGCGTGCGAGTGTAGATGGTTATCAGAGTTTGATTTCCGCTCACGACCAACACCAGTGGCGATTATCAGAACCGGTCCTGGGCCTTCTCTAGGTCGACTCAGCATCAAATGAGTATAAACATTGCCACTAGGGAGACAAAGACGGCCGGGCGTGGTGTTGGCCACCTACACCCTCATGTGCCATACCGGCCTTCATATGTGCTCGCTAACAGCACTTGACCCAACATGGAAGGTGGAGGGGAGTAGAGTGAGATGAGAGGGGAGAGGCAGGAGAGTGCGTGTAGGGGAGTAGAGTGAGATGAGAGGTAGGAGAGTGCGTGGAGCAGAGTAGAGTGAGATGAAAGGGGAGAGGCAGGAGAGTGCATGGAGGGGAGTAGAGTGAGATGAGAGGGGAGAGACAGGAGAGTGCGTGGAGGAGAGTAGAGTGAGATGAGGGGAGAGGCAGGAAAGTGCGTGGAGGGGAGTAGAGTGAGATGAGAGGGGAGAGGCAGGAGAGTGCATGGAGGGGAGTAGAGTGAGATGAGAGGGGAGAGGTCGGAGAGTGCGTGGAGGGGAGTAGAGTGAGATGAGAGGGGAGAGGTGAGAGAGTGCGTGGAGGGGAGTAGAGTGAGATGAGAGGGGAGAGGTCGGAGAGTGCGTGGAGGGGAGTAGAGCGAGATGAGAGGGGAGAGGTCGGAGAGTGTGTGGAGGGGAGTAGAGTGAGATGAGAGGGGAGAGGTGGGAGAGTGCGTGGAGGGGAGTAGAGCGAGATGAGAGGGAGGCTGTAGCCACAGATGAAGTCATCGTTGGCGAAAATCTGTGACCCGTGGACAACGACCCGGCCCCCCTCGCGTTGCCATCCCCCCTCTCCCCATCCCCCACCGTGCCCCCCCCCCTCTGCCCCCAGGAGGCCCTACCAGTGTGGGGAGCTCGGCGGTGATGAGCTTCTTGAGCTCGGCCTTGCTCAGGGTGTACTTGTCGTTGTCCTCGCGCGCGTACGAGTGGAACAGCTTGATCAGCTGCTCCATGGCACACTCCAGTTTCGACATGGCTGCTACGACTGAGGAGGGGGGGTGTGACAGGGAGCGGGGGGGGGGGGCATGGAAATTGCATCTCAAATTGCGCTGCAGAAACCGCAGTCAACCACGACAGCCAGAAACAAGGTTCCACTGATAAACTACCCGTGCTCTGTGGGGCCGTCCATAAATGACGTCACGAACCTGGGGGGGGGGGGGGGGGTCAGACATTTGTGACGATGTGTGATGAGAAATGTGACGTCACATCAAAATGCGCAACTTTAAATAAATATAGACAACACGTTCTACTTAATTAAATATACTTTTTAATAAATGTGTTCTCCTACAACATCAGAGTGCACTACAATGACAATAGTTTAAAGCGATTTGAAGCATTTTTTGTGGGGGGGGGGGGGGGGGCAGAGCTTTGTTATGTCATATTTGAGGGGGGGGGGGTCTGACTTTTGTGACGCGTGACGTCATTTATGGATGGTCCCTGTGGTCCTTTGTTGGGATGTTCCACCAATAACGGAACTTGCGAGTTGTGTTCACGTGAGAGAGCGAAGGTGCAGCCCCTGCAATTGCCGGTGTCGCGCTACTGCTGGCGGATGGGCGTGCACGAGAGGAAGCTCTCGACAGCCCCCATTGGGAGGCGACCTTGGCCTACTCTCAGGCCGCCACGGTAGCTAGGAGATGTTAACTCCCTCGCCTCGTGTACAGGAGGTCGTGGGTTCGATCCCGACCCTGACGCCTGCTACTGTATATTTGGAGTTTGCCTGTCTCTCTGCCTGTGGGTCACGTGGATTGTCCTCCGGGTTTTCCCTCCAGATTTAAAATCCACACGCGTTTAGAGTGTTTGGGACGCGATAAGCTACTCAGTTGAGCTTACAGCTCAGTGGGCCTAACCTAGTAAACATAATTTTTTTGTAAATTTGTAGTTGACTCTTTATGCACGCTGGCCATACGTCCCAACACGCAGGACACGTGGCACTGCCCCTCTCTCTCCAAATCGCGCTACGGGAAATTCTCTTGATCGTCGACTGCGAATCTGGACGGCGCGTCAGCGCGCCATGAACGCCTCCCGCGCGGTATTCGCCGGGGCGGCCGCTCGGATCGCAACCGCGAACCCCCTACAACGAAGCGGCCGCTCCCGCTCGGCCGTGGCCACCAGTTTTTGTCGTTTCCTTTATTTTTTGGGAGGGGTCGGAAAGCCTGCGTCGGCCACGCACGCGCACAGCGAGTGACACACCCACTACAAAAAAGACAAAGATCCCTCCCCCCCTGTGTAGCCTACACAGGATGTTGGGGCAAGTGCTGTTAGCGAGCGCCTTTGAAGGTCGGAACGGCACGCGAGATGGGCAACCGGCCAGAACCTCGCCCGGCCGCCTCCGTCTCCCCAGCGCTGATGTTCACACAAAACAACACCGCTTCAGCTGTTGATTTAAGGCTGAGTCGACGTAGCGGAGACACAGGACCAGTTTATAGTTCCTGCACCACAGCTCCTGTCACCCTGCACCACAGCTCCTGTCACCCTGCACCACAGCTCCTGTCACCCTGCACCACAGCTCCTGTCACCCTGCACCACAGCTCCTGTCAGCCTGCACCACAGCTCCTGTCAGCCTGCACCACAGCTCCTGTCACCCTGCACTACAGCTCCTGTCCCCCTGCACTACAGCTCCTGTCACCCTGCACTACAGCTCCTGTCACCCTGCACCACAGTTCCTGTCACCCTGCACCACAGCCCCTGTCACCCTGCACCACAGCTCCTGTCACCCTGCACCACAGCTCCTGTCACCCTGCACCACAGCTCCTGTCACCCTGCACCACAGCTCCTGTCACCCTGCACCACAGCCCCTGTCACCCTGCACCACAGCTCCTGTCACCCTGCACTACAGCTCCTGCCACTACTGCAGCTGCTGTCACCCTGCACCACAGCTCCTGTCACCCTGCACAACAGCTCCTGTCACCCTGCACCACAGCTCCTGCCACTACTGCAGCTGCTGTCACCCTGCACCACAGCTCCTGTCACCCTGCACCACAGCTCCTGTCACCCTGCACCACAGCTCCTGTCACCCTGCACCACAGCTCCTGTCACCCTGCACCACAGCTCCTGTCACCCTGCACCACAGCTCCTGTCACCCTGCACCACAGCTCCTGTCACCCTGCACCACAGCTCCTGTCACCCTGCACCACAGCTCCTGTCACCCTGCACCACAGCTCCTGTCACCCTGCACCACAGCTCCTGTCACCCTGCACTACAGCTCCTGTCACCCTGCACCACAGCTCCTGCCACTACTGCAGCTGCTGTCACCCTGCACCACAGCTCCTGTCACCCTGCACTACAGCTCCTGTCACCCTGCACCACAGCTCCTGTCACCCTGCACCACAGCTCCTGTCACCCTGCACCACAGCTCCTGTCACCCTGCACCACAGCTCCTGCCACTACTGCAGCTGCTGTCACCCTGCACCACAGCTGCTGTCACCCTGCACTACAGCTCCTGCCACTACTTCAACGCACTCCGACTTCTGACGGACACTCTTCAAGGCCCCACCTCTTGCTTGGCTCTGCGACTCCCAAGCGTCACGCGGTCATTTAATAATCCGTTACATTGTTACGCGTTACGAGTGGCAGCAGGCATTGTTTGTGATCATCAATTCATCCATTCTGCCATCATCATATCCATCATACTAAAAAGTAAATTCTCCATCATTATTGCCATTATCGCCATCTCCATCATCATCTCCATCTCCACCATCATCATCTCCACTGTCACCATCAAACTGTCCACCACCACCCCCACCACCGTCGTCACCATCGTTGCGCCGCTCCCATGAGGCCAGCCAGACCTCAGGGTGTGGCCCGGGGAGGGAAGGGGCGGGGTGAGAGGGGAGGGAGATCCCCCCCACCACCCCCCACCACCCCCCCACCACCCCCGGGTCTACACAGCGCGTGGCGGTGGGAGGGGACATGGCTGGGACACGCCTACCGGGGGGCGTGTCCTGCGCGTCGTGACGTCACGACGCGCGGTGTTGCTGCTATTGTGGACGTGCAACCCTGGCAGACGAGAGGGACCGCACGGGAAAAATCAGCCCCGTAGCGACACACACACAGAGACACACGCACAGAGACACACGCACAGAGAGACACAGAGAGACACACACAGAGACACACGCACAGAGACACACAGAGACACACGCACAGAGACACACAGAGAGACACACACGCACAGACACAGAGAGACACACGCACAGAGACACAGAGACACACACAGAGATGCAGAGACACACAGAGAGACACACACACAGAGACGCACGCACAGAGACAGAGAGACACGCACACAGAGACACACAGAGAGAGAGAGACACACGCACAGAGACACACACACACAGAGACACACAGAGAGACACACACACAGAGACGCACGCACAGAGACACAGAGAGACACGCACACAGAGACACACAGAGAGAGAGAGACACACGCACAGAGACACACACACACAGAGACACACACAGAGACACACACAGATTGCATAGGAGATGCTCAGAGACTCATTGGAGGTGCGTTAAAGAAAAGGAGCCGTGCGAGTGTGGCGATGCAACACAAACTATGGACCTCACGGTAAACCCACGGGGAGGTCTGCGCGCCTTCGTGTGTACGTTGAACTTCTTTCGCACCGTACGTAGCCGACCGTGCTAATCGGAGGCGCGGGACGGGTCAGCAAACTAAACGCAGAAAGCGGTTCAACGAAGGAGGAGGAACAGCGGGCACGATGCGCGAACTCTCCCTGCTGAAGCCCTCTCGCCAGGACCTCGATGTTTGACATCGAGCACCCGAACATGCCCTCAAGAGGGCAAGACGAGAATGCTGTAGGCGTAACGTGGACTACAACAACGAGCAGTTCAACTCGCCGTGCATGCGGCTCTACATTCCCACAGCAGTCACGCGCACTCCGTGTCAGATGCACGTGCACAGGCCAGGCGCCTCTCTGCATACCAGAACGCAGGAAAGTGGCACTTTCACCAAACACACGGTGTGTGTGGGTGTGTGCGTGGCCTTAAAAACGGGGATAATAAATAATAGGCGACGTTTCGGGCAACGGACCTTCTTGTTCCATTGGAGGGCCATTGTCCCGAATCGTCGCCCTTTATGGATCAGCCATCGGTGTTATTGACACGGAACGATTTGAGCGGTTTGCTCGTCCTCGATGTTGTCGTCGTCTGTGCTTGTGCGCCACCGCTCAACGCAGCAGCAGCAGCAAGCAGTCGACACAGCGTGGCGACGGTACATCGATCCGGGAATCCATCGGAGACGTGGAGGCGAATCGTCACACCCTTGGCAAGAGGCCTGGAATTCGTGTGGCGGCGGCGGCGACTCATCGATCTTCAAGCCAAGATATCAAACTCGCATTGTGCACGAACGCCACCCCCAGAACACCAACAACACGAAAAACCCTAAAACGCGATTACCCGAAGCCAGTGGTCCTTAACCTTGACTGCAGCCTTGCACCCCTCGGTTTCTCAAGCGTTAACAAATGTAATAATATTAAGACATAGGTACGATGAAACAAAGTATAACGTGTTATCTTCTTGGTTCTTTCGGTAAAGTCACGTAGAAGGGAAGTAATAAAATAATAAAAATGTTTTATTTTTATTATTTTATTACTTCCCTTCTACGTGACTTTACCGAAAGAACCAAGAAGATGAATCCCTGCAGTCACGAAAGCTTTAAATCGAAATATAACGTGTTACTTACGGTGCCCGCGATTAATGATTTAGCTTCGAAAATAAATCAGGCCACGTCTCGCACCCCCAGAAAGGGGCATCTCGCACCCCCAGCGGGTGTAGCGTGCACCCCAGGTTTAGTATAACGATTGCCAAGCCCCAGCCAGTCTCCCCCCCCCCCCCCCACTGCTTACCCCCATCACCACGACTGAACTACTAATACCCTTAGCTCCTTAACACCAGAAACAGAATATTTATACTGGAGGAATCCGATGAGCTATAAAGCAATTTTATCACGGATGTCCAGTAGTACTCACCCGAATGCTATGACACCAGCCATTCACCTAACGCGAGTACTCACTCTAACCTCAAACTTACACAACCCTAAACACGAACCCCTAACCTCTGGTGCTAAGCCAGACACGAACTCCCGAACTACTGCCCTCGTGACTGGCCCCAGCCCTACCCCACTATCCTTAACCCACTAACCCACCAACCCTAATTTACTATCCCCAATCCACCATCCCAAACACTAACCCACTATCCTTAACCCCAACTCATTGGCCCTAACCCGCCAATACAAACCCACTAACCCACCATCCTTCACCCACTAACCCACCATCCCTAATTTACTATCCCTCAATCCACCATCCCAAACACTAACCCACCATCCTTAACCCAAACTCATTGGCCCTAACCCGCCAATACAAACCCACTAACCCACCATCCATAATTTACTGTCCCAAATCCACCATCCCAAACACTAACCCACTTTCCCGAATCTTAACTCACTATCCTTAACCCACTATCACGCACCCTATCTCACGAGCCCTATCCCACTCATCCACTAGCCACAACCCACTAACCCGAATCCACTAGCCCTCACGTCTCTGTCGATTACTCTAAGACAGCGGTGCAAGAATTGGTGGACTAGTTCATCTCACAGAGGCCAATTTGGTGGGTGGGAGAGAGTTTATTTATTTACTTCGTAAATGGAAAGCGATATCTTCTGCTGAATAATGGACTCGAGTAACGCGCGCGGGGGGGGGGGTTGAGACTTGGCCGGGCGTGTCAATAGCGCAGTGCGGATCCTTGGCGGCACTCACCGTGGGAGACGGAGCGAGGATCGGAGGAGCAAGATCAGGGAAGAGGTACGAGCCGCGTTTCGTCCAAAAAAACTACACCGTCTCACTCGCTCTCTACAAGGGAGGAGTCCTCGCTTTTATAGTGCGAGAGGGGCACGGTGAGAGAGAGAGAGAGATGGGGGAGAGAGCGTGGCGAGATGGGGAGGGTTTTGTGGGGGGTGAGCAGCGCAGATGGGAGAGCGAAAGGGAGAGCGACAGTGGGGAGAGATGGGAGAGAGAGAGAGAGCGAGAGCCAGACTCGCACTCACGCCGAGAGAATTAAAACTTGGAGCGCTCGCCCACATTCCGATCTGCCACGCCTCGCCCGAGCCACCCACCCACACCCACCCACCACCATCGTCAGTGCTCGCGGTCAGGGCGGTTCCAGCATTCTCCAGACAGGAACCAAAGGCAAAGGTCCCCCGTATAGCCTCGTGACAGACTGTTGGGGCAAGTGCTGTTAGCGAGTGGCAACCTATGAAGGCCTGCACGGAGCACACACGAGGTATGGGGGGGGGGGCTGGTCAGCAACACGATGCCGGGCCGCCTTTGTCTCCTCTTAGTGGCGATGTTTGCACACCGCGCGAGGTATTCATTTGAGGCTGAGTCAACCTAGGGGAGTAACCCACGACGCAAGCTTGTGAGCATAGCACCAAGACGTCAAACGACCCAGCAACAAACCGCACAGTCAACAGTTGTACAGCACTGCAATAGCGTACGGGTGATGAACACGTGTGATGAACACGCGTGAGTGAGTGTGTGGGTGTGTGGGTGGCTGAGTGAGTGGGTGGGTGGATGGGTGAGTGTGTGGGTGGGTGAGTGTGTGGGTGGGTAAGTGAGTGGGTGGGTGGATGGGTGAGTGTGTGGGTGGGTGAGTGTGTGGGTGTGTGGGTTGGTGAGTGAGTGGGTGGGTGAGTGGATGAGTGAGTGGGTGGAGTGAGTGGGTGAGTGAGTTGGTGGGTGGAGTGAGTGGGTGAGTGAGTGAGTGGGTGAGTGGGTGAGTGTGTGGGTGGGTGAGTGGGTGGGTGTGTGGGTGGGTGAGTGAGCGGGTGGGTGAGTGGGTGGAGTGAGTGGGTGAGTGAGTGAGTGTGTGGGTGGGTGAGTGTGTGGGTGAGTGGGTGGGTGGGTGGGTGAGTGGGTGGGTGGGTGAGTGTGTGGGTGGGTGGAGTGAGTGGGTGAGTGAGTTAGTGGGTGGATGGGTGAGTGTGTGGGTGGGTGAGTGGGTGAGTGGGTGGGTGGGTGAGTGTGTGGGTGGGTGAGCGGGTGAGTGGCAGAGGAGCAATGGCGTAGTGGCTGGTGTCGTAGCGCACGGCGCTACGAACCTGGCCACCCGAGTTCGATTCCCGCTCAGGCCCAACCAACACCTTTGATGGTTATCTAAACTGGTCATGGGCCTCCCCTAGGTCGACTCAGCCTCAAATCTGGACGCACGGTGGTGAGATTTTAACTACCTCGCCTGGTATACGGGACGTGGGTCGCGGGGACTTTTCTCTGGATCCCCCGGGTTTTCCCTCCACATTTTGAGTATTTGGCTGCTGTGCATTTCTACATGATAAGCCACTTGGTTGAGCCATCATTTGTGGGTAGGTCGCTTCGGAAAAAGAACCATATGGCTTAGTGGGCCTTTCCTGGTAAAAACAAAAAAGTTTAGTCTTTAGTTGAATGAGCACCTGGGGCAGTGTGTAAACATCGCCACTAGGGAGACAAAGGCGGTCGGGCGTGGTGTTAGCCACCCTACCCCCTCATGCACCGTGCCGGCTTTCATAGGTGCTCGCTAACAGCACGTACCCCAACAGTCTGTTCAGGCGACACGGGGAATCTTTGTTTTTGTTGTTTTGGGGTAGTGGGTGAATGAGTGAATAACTGAGTGGGTGCGCGACTTGAGTGAATGGACGGGTAATGGCTGGGTGAGTGGGTGGATTAGTGACTAAGTGTGTGAGTGAGTGACTGAGTGAGTGGTGAGTGGTGTGTGTGTGTGTTCTTGTGGTCTTGGTGGTTGAATGCAGTCTGGTAGACCGGGTCCTCAACACTTACACAGTACAGTAGATGTAACAGGACAGACATACCAAGTGTATTTTCTCAACAAACTATGCGAATTTATTATTTTGTGTGATGTGTAACTGTACATTTTTTTGCGTCTAACCAGGACCCACATTTCATAAAAGAGTGGGGCCTTGCCTGTGAACTTCTGCCAGTTTACCAAACATACCCAGACTTATACACGGACATAGGGGCCGCCCATAAATGACGTCACGCGATTTTGGACGATTTTTGAGCCCCCCCCCCCCTCGTCACACGGCGTCACAAAAAGTCAGAATCTCCCCTCAAATATCGCGTTACAAAGCTCTGCCCCCCCGCAAAAAAAAAACACGCTTCAAATCGCTTTAAGCTATTGTCGTTGTAGTGCATATTTAATGTGCCGCTGCACTCTCATATGTTGGAGAAAACATTTATTAAAAAGTCTATTTAATTAAGTAGAACGTGTTGTCTATATTTATTTAAAGTTGCGCATTTTGATGTGACGTCACATCCCCCCCCCCCTCGTCACACATCGTCACAAATGTCTGACACCCCCCCCCCCCCTAGGTGCGCGACGTCATTTATGGACGGCCCCATACAGAGAAATAACCCACATAGCTTTTAATAGACTGTTGGGGCAAGAGCTGCTAGCAAGCACCTATGAAGGCTAACGCGCACACGAGGAGGGTGGGTGGCCAACACCACGTCCGGCCGCCTTTGTCTCCCCAATGGCGATGTTTATACATCACACCGGGTACTCATTTGAGGCTGAGTCGACAAAGATCCACCGTATAGCCTCGTAACAGGCTGTCGGGGCAAGTGCTGTCTATGCAGGTCACAGATCACCTCGCACGGTGCACGAGGGCGTGGTGGTGTCCACACCTTGCCCAGACGCCTTTGTCTCTCTCTCTCTCGAGTGCCAGCACCAGATGGCGCGCTAACCTCTGCGCTGCCACTCCCCACGTGCAGATAGTACACACAACTGTGGCGGTAACGTCGCCACGAAGCCTCCTGTGCCAGGCTAGGTGCACTGTGAGGCCACGTGAAGTGTGGGAACCTCGCTGCAGGCAGGTGCCATGGGTTGGCCGACTGAGATGGCTACTGTCAGTTGCTACTCACTGTTCCGTTTTAGCCGTCCGGCGCTTCGCTCGTTGTTGTGAGCGTCGCTCCTTTGCCCTCATTTTTTGTTGGAGGGCGACTGCCTCCGACTACCCAGTCGCGTCTTTCACGAGCATCCTCCACAGCGGGCGATCTTGACACCGCTGGTACCAGTCATCGGCAATTCCACTCAGCTCCATATCCTTCTGTATACCCCACGGAGCCATCTATTCTCTCGCCCGTGCCGCGCCCGTTTCGACCTCCTCTGTCTCCGACCAAACAGGAGCCGCTTGGATAGGCGTTGGCTGGGCATACCGGCTACGTGACCCAGCGAACGCAGCCTCGCCTGCCGGAGGAGCCTCATCGGTGATGGGGACCGTGTCCAGATCTGTCAAGGATCTGCGAGCACCTCACACATTCCAGTTTGCTTAAAGTCTGGAAAGATAGTGGGCAGGCCAGCCGAAATGTTTGCAGCCAGTGCAGGCGTGCCTTTTAAAGGGTCCACGTTTCGTAAGGAGACATCATTCAGGGTTATGACTGTGGTCGATGCCACACCGTCAAACCGGAGCGAGCCACGAGTAAACCGCCCACGCACAGGAACTCCCCCTCGTTGCACGGAGGCTCAACGTAAGCGAAACTCTGGACCGGTTTCAACACTCGGCGCCTCGTCAGCAGCAGAGGCAGGCTCGCTTTGAAGCAATGCGGGCGATCTGCCAGATGTTTGCAGGCAAGCGCCCCTTCGCATCCCTCCAATGTCGATCCCTAGTCCGCATGTACGTTGAACTTCTTTCGCACCGTACGTTGCCAACTGTGCTGATCGGAGGTTCCCGGGGTGGAGGGAATGCCACGCAAACGTCCGTGCTTTATATATACAACTCCAGAGCGCATTCGGGCCAAGGGGCCGTCTATAAATGACGTCACGCGAATTTGCACGATTTTTGACCCCCCCCCCCTTCGTCACACGGCGTCACAAAAAGTCAGACCCCCTTCAAATATGATGTCACAAAGCTCTGCCCCCCCCAAAAAAAATTGAACATGCTTCAAATCGCTTTAAACTATTGTCATTGTAGTGCGTATTTAATGTGGCGCTGCACTCTGATGTTGTAGGAGAAAACTTTATTTTTAAGTCTATTTAATTAAGTAGAACGTGTTGTCTATATTTATTTAAAGTTGCGCATTTTTATGTGACGTCACATTTTTCAACCTCCCCCCTCGTCACACATCGTCACAAATGTCTGACCCCCTCCCCCCCCCCAGGTGCGTGACGTCATTTATGGACGGCCCCCAAGGCGGTCACGTTTGTTTTTGTTCATTTGCCCCGGTTGCTCATGCCCAGTCACGCCACACTACTGGCGTCGTGTGTGCTGTCACCCTGCACGGACTGTGCCGTGCGTGTGTTGAACTTCTTTCGCGTCGTACGTAGCCAAACGCCCTAATGGGAGGCGCGGGGGAAGGACAATGAAACGAGTTTTTTTCTTCAACCTGTCCGATTTGAAAGTGCCGGGCTCCAGTGGCTTCCCAATATCGGAAGGAAGAGCGCCGAGACAACCACACAGCCACTCCACCACAGGCACAAACACACAAAGATAAAGATAGCG